GACCGGTGAAAAATTAGACATTCTGGAGTCGATGGGTTAAAAATGTCCAACATGCTCGCTAGCGCCACCTATATGTAAAATATTTTGGAAAAATGTACATAGTCGCACGTAAGTCGGATGGACCTGACATTTTGCACACTTATCCGGGTTGACCTGCTCTACATAAAGTCCTCTTGAACCCCTAAGCTCCGCCTACTTTGATTTTTTTTTATTAGCATAATGTTAAAAACAGTGAAATATTATCCTAAATTTCAATTTTGGTTTTAACAACACCAATCTTTGTATACAGCATCGGTGGAGGGTCACACACATTAAAATATGAAATGAGCATGTTCAGGTAATAATTATGGCCGCCATTAGTCAAAACGTATTAGCAAAAAGGTGTGGCTTAGAAAGAAATGCTCATAACTCATCAACAATGTATTCATTCACCACAGATTTTGGTGGAGACGTTCCATCTGTGTTGGGGAATAGGCACACCAAAGCATTTTCATTTTGGACTATAGGGGGCGCCAAAAACGCCACCAATTTATAAATCAAGAACGGATGGACGAAATAAAACAAACTATTTTTAGACATACTCTGGGGGGGACTATGAACTGAGAATTAAAGTGTCGAAACAAATGCAGAATGTGGGCGTGGCCTATACACATTTTTTACATTGCGATAGCATAAAATGAGATTCGGATGCAAAACTTGGGACACACGTCAAAGCCCACGACCTTTTCGCGAATGTAAAAGAAAAACGTAATTTTTTTTAAAAACTGCTCACTAGCGCCCCCTATTGTGTGGTAGTCACATAGTTACTCAGATCTTCACGAATTTTGGCACAGACAATCGTCATGAAATGGCGGACATATTTCGAATTTGCTTCCATTAGCCCCGCCCCCGAGAAAGTCGGCCATTTTGAAAAAAATCCGTTTTTCATGCAATTTAACGACATTTTTCCGTAATGCTCCTAGGGGAATGCTCAGAAAAATTCCAATCCAGGACAAGTTCAGCCCCTATCCAATATGATGCTTAATTGAGAAGCACATTTTTGATAGCTCAATCATGGCGGTCGTAAGCTAACAGCGAATACACACTTTTTGACGATTTACATGTCGCAAATTACTCCAAACTACTCGCATATAGTTTTTCCGATATGCACGAAACGCTGTATAGACATTGCTCTTATGAATCTGGACATATGTGACCTGCTCTATCGAAAACAGTCGCATTGACCCGAAGACACATTTTGAGTTGTATACACTGTTGGAAAGAGGATATTCCTAGCTTTCTAATGATATCAGGATTGTTTTTGTACTCCAAATATTAAGCAAAATATGTCACATTATATAATGACTGTCACCGAGTCATCATTTAGAGAAAAAGGCCTTCAAAGTTTTCTCTTCTCTGGAATCCATCGATCTGATTGATTATTAGTGGAGCAAATTATCAAAATACTACGGAGGGAAGATATTTTCGTTTGGAGGGGAAGCTCGCGAGTGTGTGTGTATACGTGTGCGTGTGTGTGTGTTTGTGTAATTTTGCGTTTGTGTGTATTGTGTTTGTTTCCCAGGGAAAACACTCACGAGAAACACCGGCTGTTGTTATGCCTGCTGTGACGTTAAGTTACTCCGTTCTCCGCTTGTAATTATGCCGTTACAAGCTTCAAAGTTGTATTTATCATCTAAATTTGCCGAAACAAGTTTAATATTCTGAAAGCCAAGACTTTGTTTAATTGAAATCAGATGAAAACAAACTGTAACGGACCCTGCCGTGTTATCTATGATTACTATACTCTTACATTCATCATTTCAGCCGGAGGGAGGGGGGGCGGCGCTGCGGAAGAGCAGATTGCGAGTGAGAGGTGCCTGTCTTCGTCCCTTTACAAGCTTCAAAAATGTATTTATCGTGTGATTTTGGAAATAAAAGTTTCATATTCTGAAAGCCAAGACTTTGTTTGTTTAAAATCAAACAAAACACCCGAACCCCGAAAAACGAGTTTTTTATGTAAATCCACGTTTATTTTGAAATGAGCCGTTGCGACTTCCGACTGATTTCGATAGAGCGGGTCACATATTTCAAATTGCCTTCTATTGGCCCGGCCCCCCAGAAAGTTGGCAATTTTCACAAATGTGCGTTTTTCATGCATTTTAAGCACATGTTTGCCTACTCCTCCTAGGGACATGATCGGAAAAATTCCAGTCCAGGACAAGTTCAGCCCCTATGCAATATGATGCTAAATTGCGAAGAAAATAGTTGCTAGCTCAAACGGGGAGCTCGTAAGCTAACGGAGAATGTACCATTTTTGACGATTTACATGTCACAAATTAATCCAAACTACTACATTTCCATTTTTGGAAACATTTACAAAGTCGCACTGTAACTCTGAATGACCTGACATTTTGCAACTTACTCGGGTGGACCTACTCTATATATTATGTCCTTGAACCCCGAAGCGTCGCCTACTTGATTTATTTTCAATTAGCATAATGTTAAAAACCGTGAAATATTAACTTAAATTTCAAATTGAAGTGTTTCAACTCCAAACTTAGTATAAAGCATCGGTGGAGGGTCAAACACATTACCAAAGGAAATGGCCATGTTCAGTTGATAAATATGGCCGTCATTATTCTAAACGTGTTTGCAAAAAGGCTTAGAAAGAAATGCTCTTAACCCATCAACAATGTATCCAAATAACACACATTCTGGTGGATAGGTTCAATCTGTATTGGGGAATAGGCACACAAAGGTATTTTCATTTTTGACTATAGGGGGCGCCAAAAACACGACAAATGTATAACTCAAGAAAGGATGGACGAAATTAATTTAATTTTTTTTAGACATACTCTGGGGGTGAGTATGAACTTATAGGTAAAGTGTCGCAACAAATAACGAATGTGGCCGTGGCCTACGTTTTTTCATGCATATTAACACTAGAACCGCCAGAGATTTTGTATACCTAAAACCGCCACCGGGGTCAAATTGACCCGGAATTATAATGCATTGATTTTCAAGGTAAAATGTTCTTTTATTGATAAACAAGGTATTTTGTCGGCTCTGTACATCAATTCCGACCAGAGGTTGCGCTAGATTTTTTCGCTGCCCGTCATTTTGACCGACAGGATCGTAAAATATCTGTCAAAATTCAGTATTACCCGTCGGCCTTTACACTCTGGGGGGGGGGAGAGCACGGAGAGAGAGAGAGAACTGTCAACGGGGGGCGGGGCGCACGCTCGTGAACTGTTAGCGCCGTGTTATGCATGCCCACTGCACCTCGCGGGAGTGCGCACAGCGTAAAGCCAAAACAGACATTTCAATGATTTGTACGGCAAAGTTAGGTTTGGAAACGGTATCATTTCCTTTTTGGCAGGCATGCATAACACCGGAGCCTTGCTGCGGGGAAACTTTGGCGCTGTTCCGAGTTTGTTCTAATCCGTCAAAATTACGGACTGCTTTCAGATTTTTCCGTCATTGTTAAAAAAAATCCGTCATAGATGGAAAATATTCGGTTAACACGACCTCTGCTGACATGTAAGTGAAGAGTAGAAAATATAAAGGTATATTCGCTATAGGGAAATGTCCCAGAAGTTTAGGATAATGAAGGTTCTAATCTAATACATAGCCACTACATTTCTAACTCCTAATGACAGGAAGGCAGAGAGCGCATTATACAAATAATAATACTCATAATAATGATAGCGATATGTTATACTTCATGTTTGTACAGATAGCATGAAGTATAAAATATCGCTACCAGTGCTGATACGCTTGGTGTTAGACTTGTGTTTTCGTAAAGGTAAAATGGTTCATATCCAGGGCTGCACATAACTGGTGCGCAGGTGCGTATGCGCACCTCCGCCAAAAAAAGAGCACCGGGTCATTTGAAAAAAGGCGCATTTGCGTACCAAAATTGAGAGGGAGAGAGAGAAGAGAGAGAAGGGAGAAGAGAAAAGAGAGGAGAGAGAGAAAGATATTTGCGAGTTGCATATGAACTCAGGGTCGGCCCGTAGCACTGGCGTTATAGATGTTCGCCTAGGGCGCCAGATCTGGGGAGGCGCTGCGCTGGCAGTTCTGGGAGGGAAAAAAACATTTTTGACCGTTGGGGCTCATCCTAATTTTCGGCCTTGATGTAACAATATTCATAATTAAGTAAATGTAACACCCTTTTCACCCCGGTTACACGTTTCATTTGCCCTGTACGATGGGCGCTGTAAGTGATGAAAATGGGGGATGTTGGGTTATGTGGCGCCCGCAGCCAGGGGCGGACTGGGGGGAAAAAGTGGCCCGGGGATTAATTGACAGACAGGCCCACTTAATGCGCGGATGTATCGGCCGGCCGGCGACGAAAGTATGTTACTTAACAAAAAACCCTATGTATTTTATGTTATTTTGGACCATTATTCATATAGTCATCACATTACCTGAGCCCTTGAGTTGCCTAAGCAAAATAGTTACAGCATATATTTAGTGATTTTAATGTTAACAGATCATTGATGCAATAACATTTGGACCCAATTTGCCTGACTTGACGCATGGAATAAAACATGGGCGTAGGAAGCATCCTCAATGTGGGTGAGACAATTTGACAGGGGGTGTGGGCAGGTGGTGGACCTCACCTCCTCTAGGGGGGTCCAGGGGCATGCTCCCCCGGGAAGATTTGTTTTAAAATGTTGAAGTTAAATGCATCAATCTGGGGCATTTTGAGAGCAAAATTAGGGACTAAATCTATGGATACATCTCTCAACACCAATATGAAACAGAACTGTAAACAGATTTACTTTTTCTTTCAACATTTATTTGAACAGCAAGTGGAGGCAAAAGTGACTGCACCCAGAACAATAAACCTGCTCGCTAACTAGCCTAAACTCAGTAACAGAATGTGGGTTCTGAATGAACGTTCTTCTCCACAGCCGTGCGACCTCTGAGTCAGACGTCACTTCCCCCTTTTCTATCCTACGGGTGCAGCCACTCCCCCTGAACCCCGTTTTCCCCCCCCTCCCCTATGCAAGCCCCTCCCTCTGAACCCAGGGCTCGCTACAATACTGTATACACATACACAACAACAAAAAACACTAGAGGGCAGGGCAACATACTTATAAACAATAAGCCCTGTCAATACTTCCCTCTCTACCCTTTTGGGTCTATAAGTGAGCTCATCCATGTGTTGCTTTTAAAAGGAGGAGGCTGGGTTGAAGTGGTTGATTTTCACATTGGGAGCAAGGTTGTAGAAGTCAGTCCCCTCTGGAAAAAATAGGGTGGCCTATGGGTGAGAGACAAAACATATATGCATGTTATGTACACATTATCGAAGAGATACTGACATCCACCTGAAGCCTTCATTAGAACAAATGTCATGTTTTTAATGTTGTTTAATAGTCTGCAATAATCACTAATTTATTAGTGTCAAGATTGGGAAGTCACATAGTAATAAATGTAAATGTATTATTACCTCACTGAATTAGTAGTTTCTGCAGCAGCTCACTTTTCTCTGCAACACCATCTATAATTTGGTCACTATCCAGCATCTTCAAAACATCTGGTTGAGTAGCCATGAGCATAAAGGACTCCAGGTTCTGTTGAGAGAGCGAGCTCCTGAGCCTGTTTTTGATGAATTTTAGTGTTGAAAAGCTTCGCTCGCATGCTACCTGTGTGACAGACAGGGTAAGCAGGAACCTGTATGCAAGGCCAATGATGTGGTATGCATCTGTCAGGAGGTTGTACTGCTTAAGGATACGGTAGCAACACAATGGGCAGTCCTTGCAAGATGAGCACTTTTTATATACCATCTCCGCTTCATATTCAGCATCCTCTGGCCCAGCCTCTGTTGTCTTGGTTGTGTATTCCTCAAATACAGATGTCTTCAACCTATTCCACTGTCCTGCCAGACTGATGAGCTCACTCTGTAATTTGGCCACCGTTGCTCTGTCATCAAATGGCAGCAAGCACTTGCTTAATTCTTGGAGTGCTGCCTCTGGGAAACCACCGGCATAAGATGTTACCTGGCTGAATCTTTTTGGGTCCAGAAGTGCCAAATCAGCATACAAAGTGCCATTTTTGAGGAAGCGCTGGTGCATGCTTCCTGTGACTGTGTCCATGATTTGATTATGGACATCAATCTTGTATGATGTTTCAGCATCAGTCACAGCCTCATCCTTGGACATCTCTCCAGGCATGGTTTTCTTCTTTCTACCCCGTTTCTGTGGCAGAGCGGCCTCAACCTCCAGCTCAGTCTCCTCACTCTGCTCCTCTGTTTGATTGTTGGCCCACTGGACGAATGTGGCGGCCGCCGTCTTGACTTTCTCGAAGTCTCTGGTCATATCTTTCAGCTGTGTTTCTGCAGCCACAATCATCCGATGAGCTGTCAGGATGTCCATTCCACTTTTCTGAAGGTATTTTGAGACTGGTGAGGTGACCTGGAAAATTCTCAGGAAGATCTGAGCTGTAAGTATTGTTTCATACCTCAGAAGCTGGGTGATGTATCCACGTGCATTGACCCGTGCAGTGGCGTTGATGGTCTGTCCATGTTGAATGGCGGAGAGGGTATGAAGGACATCAACATACAGGGCATTATCTGGCTTTCCAAAAGAGCCAAATACCTTAGTCACAGCAACGTCTTTGGACCACCAGCGTGTCTCTCCAATCGGGGCGAGACGTCTGTGTCTTGGGTCTTTGCTCTCCTTCTCCCAGATGTTCATCCTCTGGTAGGACACTCTGATGAAGACAGCGATGTTGTTCAACAGGAAAAAAAGAGACCCACTTGCCAATACACATTGTGTTGTGTCTGCCAGGACGAGGTTCAGGACGTGTGCGTAGCACCATACATGGACATGGGTGGGGGACATTTTGGCGAGCAGTGCAGAGAAGCCTTTATATTGGCCTTGCATATTGGAGGCCCCATCGGTGGAATTTCCAATACACTGCCTCACATCCAGTTTCATGGTCTCCAGTACTTCATTCACAACAAGTTGTGCAAAGTACTGCCCAGTGGATGCCTCACATTTAATCACAGCAACAAGTCGCTCATGAACAATGTCTGTCACATATCGTATGACAACAGAGCACTGATCTTGGGCTGTGATGTCCTGTGTGGTGTCAATCTGGATAGAATACATGCCAGATTCCCGGACTTCAGTGGCGATGGTGGCCTTCATTAGGCGTTGGATGGTGGTGATGATGTAGTTGATGGTTGTTTTGGATAGGAGAGTGACAAGGGAACCTCTACCTTGTCTTAAACCAGACTGGTGTATTTGCTTGCTCTTTTCTATACAGAGAGTGAGGTGTTCCTTGAGACACACATCATATTTTCCCAGCAAAACAATCATCTCTAAAAAGTTACCATGATCAATGGTGTCATCATCTAGTGTATATAATGCCTCCGCCTGCGTGCCCCTGTAGCTCAAACCCCTTTGACCAATGGGTTTCAACACATCTATGATGCGCTCCAACACTTGACGCTTCCTGCGGACTTCCTCTCTGTGACGTGACATCTGAGGTCCCATGAGAAGGTCCTGAATTGTGTTTTTTGAGAATCTGAGGAAATATGCCTCAGCGCAACCTCTGTGAGCATGGCTCTGCTCATGCTCCTCGACTCTCTGATGTATGTGTGTGAAGTTGGTCATGCCAGTGATGAAGGAGTTGCTATCTCTAGGATTAGCAAAAGCCATACAAAGGGAGCAGAAGAGTACTTCTCTGGCTTCACTGTATGATAGCCATTTCCTGTTTGTGCCGTCTTTGCAAAAAAAAGCCCTCTGCACTACAGCCTTGTCTGCCTTCTGCTGGGGGTGAAAACGGAAGAATAGGTCTAATGTGCCTGACATCGGCCTGGTGAAATAATCAACTGGGGTGGCACTGACATCCTGGCCTTGACTAACTCTGTCAGTGTCAGCAGCAGGATCATCTTCAGCCTACATAAATGATTAGTATTGATTAGTATGTTACGTTATTATGTTACCACCATGTTATTATTATGTATGTAAACCAAGTAAAGTCTTAAAGACAGTAACAGGCTAATTTCCACCAGACAGTAACTTTAGTTGCAGGTTGACAAATAATGGACCCTTTATTATTTTTAGTATTAATAAGGTAACCTAACGTCTAAGCTAATCAAACAAAAGACAGTATAAGCAATCATAGTAGTCTCATTGATTCACCAGCCCAAGTCAAGTGGCTATAATGTTCAAATAGATTACCGTTGTCAATGAGTGAAGCAAATCTACCAGCAGCTTGCATATTTCACCAGAATTTGGTCAGTGAATGGTGTTAATTTTACCCTGCCCTGTGAACACACAATGTACTGTAGGCAATAGGCTAGCTAGCTAATGCATTAGCTGTCCCTGTGAACACACAATGTACTATAGGCAATAGCCTAGCTAGCTAGAAATAGGCTAGCTAGCTAATATTACCTCATCTGCTACATTAAAAATCAAGCTAGCATTAGCCAAATGAGGATTTTCACTTTCAGCATCAATCATAACATTAACTTACCATCATATCACTGCTGGTACTGGGCTCTAGATGCCACTGTGCTGTGTCAGTTTCATTGCTGGACTCACTGCCACTGGGAATGGCCGCTGTGTCGGCTAACGTTACATCAGCTTCTCCGGTGGTGGTTGTACTACAACTAGAACCAGCTGCAGGACCAAACGAAAAGTCTGTAATTTTTTTTGATTTTGCTGAAACTTCCTCAAGTGCTTTCATTTTTTTATCCCTAAGTTTTTGTGCACCTCCTTTACGCTTTGGAGCTTGTTTATCCATCAGTAACTCACTCCTGATCTTTCACTGCGCAGTGACAGCCGCTACGGGCCTGATGGGGAGTGGCCGGCCCGGAACCCTTACAAATGTGGGCACTTACAAATGTGGGCCGGTAGGATTTAGTTAAGCAAAAAAAAAAAGGGAGTGGCCGGTATACCTACAAATGTGGGCCGGTAGGATTTAGGCAAAAAAAAAAATGTAAAAAAAAAAAAAAAATGTATTTATTGTTTTGGCCCTCCGGCCCACGCACAGCACCGGCCCACCGGGGAAACTCCCGGTATTCCCGATGGCCAGTCCGCCCCTGCCCGCAGTTCACAGCCAAAATGCGAGTGAGCTAGGGAGAGAGAGAGAAGGGCGCACCGCCCGGTGTTGTTATTAGAATCTGGTGCTAGCTGCTCTAACGGATATAAGAAGAAGATGTTTCTACAATAATGTGGAGGGAGAGTCCTCTCCAGTCAGACTGAGAGGCTGATACTACAGCTCAGTGAGGTAAAGGACTCTGAGTGTTTAGATAGTTCACTTTAGTCTAAGTTCAAACAGTTTGGTCACAATTTATGTAAACTCATATTTTCAAGGCACTCCTTTATAATTATTGGGATAAACAGGTTTGAAATCATTCCAATGCATACTATAGGACAGTAAACCACAAATATCCTTTAAAACTGGAGAGATACAAAAAAAAAATGTGATATGAATGAACAACACAAATAAAATAAGTTACATTCATTTGTTATTGGCTATGGTAGGTTATTGGTTATGTTCACATACTTATTTGATTACATCCGCTTGTCTAAGATGATAACAGAGACTTTCGACCCAAACCCAGCTGTTGACTTGTGGATGCAAGCAGCTAATCGCAGACTCAACCAGAGATAAAGAAGTAGGCCTACATCATCAGCTACCATGTCTGACAGAGAGGAAGACAGTCAGGAGAACAGTCAGGAGGGTAGTGATGACAGCTTGTGACAGGCCTACATAATAATAATAATAATAATAATAATAATAACAATAATAATAATAACAATAATAATAATACCTTTCACCGAATATTGGCGAGCCATTTGGTCGAGCACGTCAACCCCCACTTTTGAGTGGTTATAGTACTCAACCGTCTCTGTTTTTTTTGTTTTTTTTGTGGAGATGTCCACATGCTGGTGTTGGGTGCTCAATATGGTGACGTTCCTCCTAGGTTTACACTGATACACCAAGAGCACCACTTTCTTGCTTTTCAGCACTGTGGTGCTGAACAGCTCAGCTCCCGCTTGTTGCGCTTTATGGTTCCCACGAGGCTGGTGTTTTTAGAGAGAAGCGCTTTGGCGAGAGGGAGGGAGGTAAAGAAATTGTCGGTGGTGACATTTCCTCCCTTACCAACAAAGGGCTCCACCAGCCTCAGCACCACATTTTCTCCTAGCCATTGTGTTGCTGGCCTGCTGGCATATCTGCTGGCTATAACCAGCCAAAACTTTATTCCAAATTTGTCCGGCTTGTTGGGCATATACTGAGTGAATGGACATCTAGCTTTAGTTGGGAATAGATGCTCATCCACTGTGTCGTGCATTAAAGCGCATTAAAGGCCTTCAGCTCCATAATAGTGACAGCCCAGGTGGCATTATCTCTGTGCGCTTCGACAATGGTGCAATCACGGATTTCCTCCAACATTAGACTATCACACAGACACATAGTCTGTGAGTTTGTCCGTAATGTTTCCACGTGCGTGTGGTGTGGGGCCAGCAGACTCCGTGAGGATGTTTTGTATCTGCCGTCTCCCTCTGCCTCCGCAAGGCTCCATGACGGTCCACACTGTGCCATCTTTCCCGATCTCTTGGGCTGGTGACGGCTCAGTGGCACACACTAAATAGGAGAGAAAAACACTTTAGACTAAAGCATGGGCGTAGGAAGCATCCTGAATGTGGGGGGGGAATTTTTAACGGGGGGTGTGGTGGTCCCCACGAAAAAAAAAAATAGATTTCCTGTATTCTGGTGGTTTGATACTTTTATGTGGCTATACTAGCATGAGGAAAATGATGGGTACATTTTGTAATTTCATCCAGTAGTAAAGAAAGGAAACATATTTGATTATTAATTCAGAGACGTCGTTGAATTAATAAAAAGCAGTTTAAATGCCCATTTTTTTGTACATTTATATACAACAATAAATATTTGTGAGTGCATTGAGAGATATTGTTGTGGAGAGCATGGCCGTATCCACCATTGAGGTCACCGAGGTCCGGACATCGGTAATTTTTCCCGAGCTGTGTATATAACAAAACTTGTTTAATAACTGCACTAAACGGGGTTCTTAGTAGTACTTCCATTCACTGACGATGGGGGCGCTGCATAACCACGTAGCCTCGTTTAAAGCAAACAGAAGAAGACGATATTTATCAACAAACCACCGCAGCCCGGACTTGTACCGGAGCAGCGGAGGAGTGATGAGGTATATAGAGATCTGAGTCCAGAGGGCTGCTTGTGTTTCTGTTCCTCAGAGGACATCATATAACCGGCAGATCCTGTGTGAACGCTCTACGTTAGTCAGTGGACGTCCGACAACATGCACACTAACTTATATTGCAGCTATAGGCTATACTTTGGTTTAAATTGCGTGAATAAACTAGCTAGAGAGCTAAAGTTAATTACATTCATCCAATGTCAGAAGGATTACCTTTTAACAAACGTTGTAATGCTTTTCTTTCATTTCAATTTGAGTAAAACATTGAAGATATAACATTGTATTGTTTTCTTTTTACACTGACTCAGATATAATAATATAAAATATAATAATATAATATAAAAATAATATAATATAAAAATCCATCAGAAAACTGCAGCTGATCCAGAACGCTGCTGCACGTGTCCTCACTAACACTAAAAGAGTGGATCACATCAGTCCGGTTCTGAAATCTCTACATTGGCTTCCAGTCAGTCAAATAATTGATTTTAAAGTACTATTGCTAGTTTTTAAATCATTACATGGTTTAAGACCAAAGTATATTGTTGAACTCCTGCATAATTACGAGCCATCAAGGTGCCTCAGGTCTTCTGGGACGGGTCTGCTATCGGCTCCGAGAGTAAAAACAAAACATGGAGAGGCAGCATTTAGCTGTTATGCCCCGACAGTCTGGAACAAACTACCCAAAGCATGCATGTCCGCAGAAACGCTTTTAAATCGAGACTAAAAACATATCTCTTTGCCGCTGCTTTTAATTGAGATGCCTCATATTCGAACTACAGTATGCCTTTTAAACATGTATTGTTTACCTGTGGTGTTTATTTTTATTATTTTATTATCTTTGCTTTGTAATGTCTGTTGTACAATTGTATAATGTGTTTTTAATGTATTTATTCCTAAAAAGTATTTTAATTTGTTTTGTAAAGCACTTTGAATTGTCGCGTACAGAAAAACTTGCCTTGCCTTGCCTTCTGCATGTCCAGATCATTAATAGTAACAATCAACTGATTCTTATGTATTACACTTTCAAATATTATTTATGCTGCAGCCCACTGACATGGTTTGAAATCAATATATTATCCAATTTGTGACCCCCCCACAGGACTTAAAAAACACCTAACTAGATCATGAAAATCCCCCAAATCTCGGGGGGTATACCCCCGAACCCCCCTAGCATGTTTGGACCTCGGTATTTAGGAAATCCTGGATACGGCCCTGGTGGAGAGTCATTTATATATAAATAGCTAAATACATTTGTGTATCCTTCTGTGAGCATTTATTAATATTGAGACTGATCTGACTCCATACAGATGTTAAGTTCACCTAGGAATGGTATCATTGACTTAAATGTTGCTCTTCTGTCTATATTGGTCATATGATGCCCCTTGACTGAAATGCTTCCTGTTCAATATCCCCACTGATTTCCTTAACATTCTGGGATGAGAGTCCACATCCCAATTTACTCTAAACTGTCATTTCCCTTTCATCACTCCTCAGCAATGGACCTCTCTCCACTGTCCGTGTTCTGCCTCTGACTCACTCTCAAGCGCCTAGATGTCAAGAGAGGTGGTGAAGTGATCATTATTTATTGAGCAGTATACTCTTTCACATTGAATCATAACAAGTCATACTGAATGTAAATACAACTGACTCTAAAGTAAGTCCCAGTCTGTGACATTGGACATTTTGAAGACTCAAAGTCCCAAGCAGTAGGTAGAATATTAGCTAGTCTATGTAATGTGCGCAGAAAATAAATAGTTAACTGAATACTGGGATGGAAATGGCCTATAAGCACTCAGTAAAACATAAACACACACAAAAAGCTTCTGAATGATAAGAAGTATAATTAAAACATAATGCACATTACCATTTTGAGAGAGAGTACCGAAGTTAAAGAACTCAAAAAATAATCTCTTATCGAACTGAGGCTCCAGTAAAACACACTGACTGCATCTCTACATGGACATCATGGTGTTTACATGAGCACAGAGATATCGGGTCATTCATGTTCCCTGTTTACATGATAAATACTAGTGTAATGTCCGAGGTGTTAAGGCTTCAATG